AAACCGTCTGTCAGATTTTACACTTTCCTTGCCGGGGCGGACAAGTCAACAACAGTTTGTGTGCGGGCTGCCACGTTTGCCCTGGGAATTGGTGGACCTCGCTTGCATCGCGTGGCTTGAACTTCACTCAGCATATTTTCTGCGATTGCCCAACTTGAAAAACAACACAGACATATGTCAAGAGTGACTGCCGCGCGGTCTAAGCTGCTACACGGACAGCCAGACCGCCTGAGGAAGGAGTTCCGGGTGGAGCACCAGGCTATCATGCCGATGCAGAGTTTTTGCCAGATCGGTTTGAGTTTGAGCAGTTGAGGGGACGCCCGGCGCTTGTTTGCTGCCCACCCGTCAGACGACAGATGCCAGACACGACCTATGAGTCAGAGTCAGAAGACGAAGATGCCAGAGCAAATGCAGATTTGGATGAAGAGGACCTCAGGGCACTGAACTCACTGGCTGTCAAGGCTGTGGTTGCCTGTGACCCATTTGACAATGCCATGACAGGCCCGCAAATGGCTGATGCGCCCAGAAGGTACTTGGGGTTGATAAAACCTGCAGTAATGTACGAGCTGTGCAGAGCCTGGTGTCATCAGAATCAGTTGTTGGCTCCACCATGGACCACGTTCCGTCGTGCCCTGCGCGCTGCCTCCAAATGGCTGAGCTTTGCTGGCCAGCATGGCCTTTGCGATCAGTGCGTGCACTATAAGCGGGCGCTTCGTAAGCAGTTGCCGGTCAGATTGAGGACCCAGTGTGTGGAAGACTACGCCTCGCATTTACTTCGCAACTGGAGAGACCGCCAGGTGGATGCTGCTTGGCATGCGCAGGCTGGCCAGACTCGCCAGGCCATGATGTCTGGCATCCCTTTGGGAGAGCTTCAGCACTCGGCGCTGCTTCTTCGTTCGGATGGCCTAGATCAGGCCAAGCACCGAGTGCCACGAGTTCTGGTTCATAGCAAGATGTTTGACACAGTGATCAGGCCGGCCATGCGCTGCCAGATGATTTGGTGCCACTTTCATCTCTTTGAGTTCTGCATCCAGACGTCAGAAGGATTCTACAGCGCACATGGACGCCTTGTCGAGGTGCCTCTCTACAATTTTTGATCAGCACCGCGCCCTTCCAGGACACGTCTATGTGGTATTAGACAATACATCGCGCGACAACAAAAATCAGCACAAGTATTGGATTAAACTACGGCTCTTGAGCGTATTTGAGTCGATCTACATTGCTTTCCCGATCAAGGGTCACACCCATGGTCCATTGGACGGCATTGGGGGTCACGCAGTAGCTGCTTAGCTTTCAACTCATATCTTTTGTTGGCCAACTAATGTCCTGGCTTTTCATTTTGTTTCATTAAAAAAGCAGTGACCGCCGCAGTCAGTCTGGCACTTCAGGTACGCTGCAGTCACAACACGTTCGATTCTGCAGATGGACTAATAAGTGTATATCAAAGCTTTTTGGACAGTGCAGAGTTCGAACCTGGAACCTTTCGCAAAGCAGCGTACAAACATGACAATGCAGCCTGCTGGCGGCAATGGGTGGATGAGATCGGTTTGGATTTCGCCCAGCTCACAGGGCCAAAAGCCCCTCACGGGTTTCGGATTGTGTTGCGTCAGCAGCTGAAGCCAGAAGACATTGCTGAGGCGCGCCAAACGTCGTTTGCCAACGCACCTCGTTTTGGCACTCCACCAGTTTATGAGCGACCCGTACCAAGTCTGTACGCTTGTCCCTGCCAACGAGATGAAGAGCGCTCGGGCGTCAGTGAGCTTGCAGCCTGTTGGTAACCACCCTCGCCGACACATCAGCTGGGCAGATCGACAGAAGATTGTGCAGAAAGCAACAGCTGCCTTTGAGAACGGTGCTATTTCGCAGGAAGCTCATTCATATTTGAAGAACTGGGCACAGGAAACGCTGCGACGCCATTCCCGACCTCCGGAGTATTCCTTCTTGAGACACCGCTTTGACGCGTCAGATGCCAGAAGCCGTGCAGCGATGCAAAGAAATCCTCATGCGCACGGTGAGCCGAGGCCCCTTGTGATTTGGGAAATCTGATGGCTCTGCTGAGCTCGATCGGCGGGCGGCAGGCGAAGAAGATGAGGATCAAGATGAGGACGCGTGTGCGCTTGTGATGGACTAATGAGCGCTGAAAAGGCGTGGTGCTGCAGAGCCAACTTGAAGTTCTGGGTTGACACTCGCAAAATGGTATTTGCTTTGAAACTGAATCAGACATTGACATTCAGTTTCCTATTGCCTTGCGTTTGGTCACGTTCCTTGCTTTCTTTGGTTCCAGTTGCTTCACATCCAGTCTTGTGGCTCTCATGCAGGTCTTGAAGTTCTGAGTTTCCGACTCTGGCTTCTGCCTTCTGGCTGCTGCCTTCTGGCTTCGGCATTTGGCTCTCTGGCTTCAACTTCTGGCTTCGGATTCCTTGGCCTCTGGCTTTCTGCCCCCCTGTGGCTCCCAATTTGCATTTTGGTTTTTTGAAAGGATAGCCCAGGTGGGACTCGAACCCACGATCTTCGCCGTGTGATGCGGCTTTTACCCACATCAGCGACGCCCATACCAGTAGGCCACTGGGCCAGTTGATGCACATGTCATGTGTAGTTTAAGCCAACTGAAGTTCACATTTCGTCGCAGCTTCTGCCTTCTTCTTGTGGCTCATGGCTTTGGCTTCTGGCTTCTGACTTCTGGCTTATGGCTTCTGGCTTCAGCATCATGCCCTCTGGCTTCAATTTCTGGCTTCTCGCTTCAGAATCTGGCTCTCTGCCATTTTTCCTCTGGCTTCTGGCTTCGATTCGGCATCTTGGCTGGCTTCTGCCCTCAAGTTCTGACTTCAGCATTTACCCTTGAGTCTTGAAGAGGGTGCCTTTCTCTTTCATGGTTTCTTACACTGACTTCTGATCCCCGCATCAGGAAGCCAGGAAGAAGCTACGCTGTGAAAAAATGTCGGCCCAGCACAGTATGATCAGAATCGTTGTTTGAGCACAATACGGATGCACTTTGAGCCAAATATTTCTTTCTTGCGGCACCGGCCTAGTTTCCTTCTTCAAACCCTTCTTGGGACGCGAGCTTTGTAGACTGCAGCTCGCAGTCCGGAGCTGGTGCCTTTTGCTGCCTGCCAACTCTTTGCCAAAAAGCAACTTGTGAACCAACAGAACCTCAGCCAACGATTTTCAAAATTATCTGCCAAAGACTTCGCCCATGCAAACTGCACTTTGTAGTTGGAAGCTGGCGTTCTCGTTTTGTTTAGAACTTTTCTGCCAGAAACTATTTTGATCTAAAAGTTTCAGCCAAGGGTGTCGACCGAACAATCCGGGGATTGTCTGGCGCCCGCCGCGCATTGCAGAATGCTCTGCCGAAACTACGCCGGCTTCGCCCAAGCGCTTCCCAAAGTCATCATTTAGTCATGTGGGCCAGATGAGTTTGGGCTACCCACGCTGCAGTTTGTAGTTTGGCTAGGGCCCTTGGCCGTTTCGAGAAGCTTTTGCCAAAGAGCACGTTTTTGCAAAAGGGTTTCACACACAAACAACAGTTTATAGCGAGCTGGCGCCAAATTTTGGCAGAAATCAAAAAGCTTAACGCTAGCCGCACCTAGCCGGAAGGCTGTAGGACCTGGCGGCCCCTGCTGTTTCTACAGGCACTCTTCCCAAAGATTGAGACAACCGTGTGTTAGCTACACAGGCTGCTGATTGCTGCCGGGGTCGCGTTGCAATTAACCGTGCTTTGTTTCTGCAAGCACGCCAGTGAAACAACTGCGCCTAAGCTGTGAACTGGCCGATTTCCATCTGAAATTCATGAAATTAACAGCGCGCAAGGTCCACCGGCGCAGCAAGCAAAACACACACACACATGCTCACAGGAACGCGCCTGCTGGGCGTCGCTGGCGCTTGCTTCTTGCTGCCTTTAAAAAATGCGTGCGGCAGTCGTGAACCCGAGCCCTTGCCTGCGCGTTTGCAACACCTGCGTTCGCAGGCGATCCGTGAAGACTAGGACTTGCGTCTCCGCGCCGCAACTGGCTACTTCCGTCTGAATCCGGCGCGCATGGCGGGTGCAAATTCTGCTTGTCGCTCTAAATATGTAAAACGTCAAAGCGTGAAACTGAGTCAAACTTGGTTTTTTGAAACCCCGAGTTTATCTTCGCTGTTTGGGGTAGCGGAATGAGCACGTCAGGGTTGCGTGAGCCACTAGGCCAAGCCGCGCCGTCGATAACCGCCTTGACCGGCGCCTCGTTTGCACCCTCCCTGCTGATGCTCCGTGAGACGACGTAGCACCACTCGCCGCTTGGCGACAACCTCAAATATCACGGCTGCCCAAGTCCAGCTGCTCATCTTCACGAAGCAGAGGGAAGCTCTTGCCGCAAGGCTCCGAACCCTGCGTGCGACGCGCTCAACACACGGTGGACCTTCGCTCCTTTCCGATCCGCTGCCAAGCGTTTCCATCAAGACGCTGGCACCTCTGCCTCCATGACACCTCATCCTCTCCAGTCTCTCAGCCCGGCGCGCAAGTCCGTGCTGCGGTCCTGTTGCAGGACGTCATCAAGCGTGGCCAGCCTCGTAGTAATCCAAGCTGCCTGCCCCGCAACCAAAAAGCGAGGCCTAACCACGGGTCGTTTTCACGACGTCATGGGTAGCGCGCAACCCATTGACACCACCCCAACGTTGACTGCGCACCACGCCAGCCGCAGGGAGCCGTAGCCTCGTAACACTGTCTGCGACAATGCACCCAACCGGGGGCCTATCCCGCAAGCAGCTATGGCTGACATCCACTCAACAGACGGGTAGGCGCCCTCTAACCCTTCAACACGGGCAGTTCTGAGTCTCAGGGCATGGCCGATTGCATAGACTACGTGCGCTATGTGGTACCTTGAGGGGTCGTGATTATTCAGCTTGCTTAGCACAAAAACGGGGCGTCTACTTTTTCAGGGTAGCTGGGGTTCAGACATGGTTTAGCAACACATCATTGCGGAGGATTTTGCAGGGGCTGACTCACTCGGCTGAAGTCTAGCCGCAACAGAATGGGTTCTCGGACAGGCGAAGGGTGTGCAGCTGTGAGGTGTGCGCCATCTCGTCGAACAGCGCCAGCAAGGTCTTGGGCATCACTTCGAGCCTGGCATTTGTACAACAGATGTTGAAACAAACAAAACATACTGGCCAGCCTGCACGCAAGTAAAAAAAAACGACCCTGACAGTGAGACCTTTCAGGGCAAGCATAATGTTGGATGTCAGAATCAGTTTTTCACGAGGTGCATCATAGTTCATTGCCAGCAACAAAGTGTCGGGGAATCCCAAAACGGCTCTTGTGTCAGCTGGGCATCGCGCTGGACACCTCTACTGAAGCGTTCATAGCCCAAAAGATCCCTCTTTCAACCGCTCCGCACACCTGCTAACGATCAGCGACAAAGAGGTTTTTAATGAAACGCAACCGCCTTGCCTGCGCGATAGTCAAGCGCATGTCGCCAAAAGTTACTCAGAAGCTACTTGATTGACCCGCGGCGCGGAGGCATCAAACTTTGCACATGGCATAACTCGCGCAAACAGTGGTGAGTTCCATGTTGGGTAGACTCGGGGGCTTTGGCTCCGGCGCCTGGTCACCCGTTTGAGCCTGCAATCATCTGTAATCATGCGTTGCGGGGCGGGGTGGGGGAAAGAGTGGGGTCTTGTTTTTTCGCGGTTGCTTCACTTCATACGATCACCTTGCCGGACACAAAACTTGACGATGGCTTTACTTGCCTGACATGGTCCACCCTCAGGGCGGGAGAGGTTCAGTGTTTTCTGAAAGGAGCAACGGCATCAGACGAAGGGTGTATGAGTGAGTCCACTGTGGCCGCTTACGCTGGCCAACATGTTGGCGGGCCGCCCACGAAAGAACGCAGTATCAACCTCCTGGAAAAACGGCCACCGTCCTTCGACGGCCAAGGCAAGTGACTTAACAGAGTTGGAGTACGGCAGTGAACAGCCGTTTCTTCTGGCTGACACGCACGTTCCGCACATTCCCTGCCAAACACCAAGGCAGTGTTGCAAGGCAGTGTTGCAAGAAGCGCATCATCCGGGTCACCCCCTCCCGGCCAGCCATCATGCTGACCACTTCCAGCCCCGCGCTAGCCCACCGCCAAAGCAAATGCATGGGCAGCTCGAAGTTTACAACCCGGCTGGGAATGAGCACTTAGTTTGCAGGAAGCGATGAAACCGCCTCTTGCGTGCGTCACTTAGACGGGGCTATCGCCATCCATTCAGACCTGGGACACGCCGGCTGTGTCGATTGGAGTGATGCTTGAAGTGCGGACAAGCTCTGCGTGTGAGATCACTTTTGACTTTTATGAAAAACTGCACAATTGTAGTGTTGAGTCGGTGTCTGCCGGCTTCAAGGGAACTTGTGTAAAACGCTAGGTTCCCCGCGCAGGTCAAATTTATGTAGACCTCATTTTTAGAACCCCCGTGTATTTTCACAACCCAATCCCGGAACGTATGTAGAACATTCCCACGACTTGCAGAATCCGGCTCGGCTAAGGAAATCCGGAAATACAATGACAAGAAAAGCGAATCGGACGAAAGCGCAAGCATGCAAGGAATCTCCAAAAGAGCACACGCCACAAGATTTACAGACCCGCGCCCCTACGACCTTGGGGCTGGGCTACATATGAGGTGGGCGCTAGGGCACTTCGCCCCCCGCGGCCAGAAGCCCCTGCTCCAGCTGCCTCCAGCCCGAAACCAATCAAACCCTCTAAGCAACTGGTCCAGGTCCAACCAATCACGTCTTCCTAGAAACCAGCCAAACCCCCATGACGAGCAGAAACCATTCTAGCCAAGCTTGTCCATCAAAATAAGTGCCACGTAAGGGCACTGAACTATCTGCGCTGAATTGTCCCATGTCTGTGTGCTACCCTTTGCAACATCCCCAGATAAAGGGGGAGATGGCTGCTCTGATCAGCAATTTCTGCGAAAGACTGTCATTCAATAGCATTGAACGTCTCTTTGAAGCATTCCTTCTATGGCAGCTGAGCGCTTACAGCATCAAGTGCCGCATTGCAGTCCCATCTCTTGACCAACTTTCAATTTGGGCATGTGTTCCTCAAAGCCAGCACTTGTCCTTTTGGCGCCCCTTCAATTGTAAAAGGGAGAGAGACACAGCTTTTTGTAATTTCTCCATCTCCTCCCGTCGGGGTCCTGTTGAAGCGGAGATCCAGGACCCGCAGGTGTGTCACCTTGCCCCGAACGCATTTCACATCCTCGGAAGATGGGCCAGCCAAGCAGGCCGTCGTAAGCCAAGAACCACCAAGGAACCTTCAAGCAGCGGTGCCAGTTAGAGGCGCGCCAAACCAAAGAACCCCCCATTAACAAATATCAAAACAAACAGCAATATAAACATTAAAGCAAACAACGTGATAAACATGGGTGGCTTTCCTTCGAGTTTGACGTGCAGCTCACAGAATTCCACAGCGCATGATGAACTGCTCCCAAGATCACTGGTTATGAAGCAACACAAGCCAAGATAACAGCGAGCAAAATGGGGCTTGGCTCAACACAAGTGAGATGCATAACAACATATGGCGCTACACATTCAAAACACACACACACACACGTTTCGACACAAAATCTGAAAAAATGACAATACTACAAAAGGACTGATTGATGTGGTCTTGATGACAAGTAGGGCTTGTCAGCAGACAAGCAAACACTTCACCAGCGCAATCATCCCAAAGATTGGCTGAGCATCTAGTTCGGTGATGCGGTTGTGGCTCAGCAGCAGTGTCTCCAGTGACGCCAGCCCGCTGAGCTGAGGCACCTAGCGACTACGCAATGACACCAGCATCTTCTCAACCTTCTAACTTCCAGCTTCGTTGAGGAGACATGAGCAGATTGAACGGGTTTGTATGCTTCCGCTGACCAGTGACATCAGTGGACACGCACAGGCCTGTGCGTTTACATTACGCGCAACGCCGATTGTGGGCGCCAGCCTCGCAAGCGTGACTTGCTGGAGACTTTGCAATTGTTGCGTGTGCTCCAGATCTCCTGCCTGGATCAGCCGATTGTGGGAGAGATCCAGGTGTTTGAGCCGAGGTAGCATCAGCATGGGATACGCCAAGAGGTTGTTGCTCAGCGAAAGAGTCCTCAGGGGATTGCGGCTGGTCATGCCTTCGAACTAATATTCGCAAGCTCTCCAAGCAAAACATCGGCCTTAAACTGCTGAAGGCGTTGCTGCAAATCCCCACGTCTTTGGCGGGCTCAAAGTCGGCATCCCGAAGCTGGTTCTTGTCCTAGGCTGGCCAAGGCGCTTTTTCCCTTCAGCAGCCTACACAGAACGAACGCCTTCACCAAGGATTCGTCGCTTGCAGGTGGAGTGATGGAGCACACACAGGCTTGCCCAAATAGTGGCTCTAACAGGTAAGCGGGTGTTTAAGGACACTCGCAATTTCACTTGCAGCTCCAGCTTCCAGGTTGAGCATCGTCACCTTGCCCACGATGAACTCCTGCTCCTGCGCAGAGCTTTGCATCCTGACTGTAGCTTGGATCCGTGGATCAAGATTGGGGCTTAACATTCTGGCCGCTATTGCGCGATTGCGCCACAACGGTTTTCTTGTGCGCGCGGGCATGCCTGGAATATCGCAAAAGAATGCTTAAACCATCTTCGTCTGCGTCACCCTGCCCTAAAAGAAGCAACGGCCAATGGTAGCCACACCTTCCGTTCACTCCGTCTGCCTAAGTCTGCAAGGAAAGCATGATAATCCTACACAAACAAGGTCATGCCGAGATCAGGGGCCCCGCTATGTTCAAGCTGCGTTGCTCAGCAAAATCCCAAATCCTGCCAGCACACTACAAAATCCGACGTCAAATCCAATGTCTGCACTGAGGTCTATTTAAGCTGGGCACATGCGCACATTGCAAGCTGTCTGTTTCCGCGAAGCTTGCGTTGAGCTTACGTCTATGAATGAACACAACCAACTGACAATCTGAACAGTCTACAAGACCCAGGATTGGAAGCACACCTTCAGAATAATATGCGTGACAAATAGCTACATGACCTAATCAATCGAGCTGCAGTCAACACTTCCGCTTGATGAGGACCAACTCAAAGCACAGGGTTGGGGGAAGTCCTAAGGAGAAGCGTCTCAACCCATAAGCACTGAACGGGTGCAAGGTCAAGATGCGGCATTCAAAGAAGCAACTCAGAAACGCGCTTGGCTGTCAAGTGTTGGTCATTGGGTCGAACGCCTCCTCAAACCACGCGGCTCATCCCGCAGTTCCCCAACTAATTGCAAATATCTGCGCATTGTTGAAGACTGGACTGTCTCTGCGGCGTCTGCTGCGTTCAAAAAGCTGGCAGCCTCAAGAGAATTTGCTGGACACGCAAGGCACGCTTGCACAAACAGTCTGGAATCCGAAAACCCATGCCTGGGTCTTGAACCGCTGCTGCCGCGCAGTTGTGGCTTTCTCCTCGAACTCCTTCCGGCCTGGGCAGCTACAGCCCGGCAATATGATCGTTTGTTGACGGAGTGAAGGGCTGGTGGATTGATGGCTGATAGCAGAAGCTGCTGCTGCTTTGGAGGCGCTTTTGCGGCAAGTGTTTCTAGAAACGTTGCTCGAGATACAATTGGACTCTCATGCTTTGGGCATGCGTCGAAAAAGGGAGACCCTCAAAAAAAGGTATTTGGTTTTGGTTTTACCTGACCTGAAGGGCTACTTAGACTTTCGAGGGAGGAAGCCAATCAATATCAAGTGTGGACGCGTCGAGCCTCGCGCGAGTGTGTTCGAGTGTCAGTGGGGGTACAACATCACCTAAGATTGAACACACACAGCCTTACGGGGAAGCAGGAGGCCGGTCACGCGGCAGAGCGGAACGTCGTAACGAGGAGAAGGAAGAGAGCAGGGGTTCTGAGAAGAACCAGGCTGTCCCTGGAGATGCGCTTTGTCGTTTAAAGTCCCTTGGTGACCGCTCGGGACTTTCGTCGTTACATGTCCCGGTTCATCACCAATGCCCTGCGCTCTCAGGACTTTCAAGGTCAAGTTATGTTGGTGCTGGCTTGCTTTGTTTTCTGCGTTGGCGGTGCGGGGCTGGGTGGTTCATGGCGCTGACGCGCCAATGAGATGATCGAAGTTGTCATGACACTGACGCAGCAGCCCCCGGACACCTGGTTGGGCAAGCTGGTCATGCGAAGTATTTCTCTCATTGAGTCGACGCGGGCAGACCAGAACGCAGGCCGCCGCCACTCCGCGATGTAGACGACGGAACCTGCAGGGAAGATAGCGCAAGCCACACTAATGAAGCAGAGCACGCGCCGAAATCAAGTTCAAGGGGTATAGGTAGTGGGCGAAGTAGACCAGGAAAAGCCACTAGCCAAAAACCTGAAGGCTCCAGCGACGCGCACAGGACACGTTCGGCCGAAAAAGGGCACAGGTCGTGCGGGAGGGATATGACTATTCGCATACGACCTCTCGACAAAATACATCAGAACTCACCACCCTGAAGAAGACGACGCCTTTCGCAGGAACGATGTCCAAAGCACACGCCCAAAGTGTCCTGGAAGAAGAGATGAGGCGCCAAGACGCCGATGCGCAGCGCTGGATCCTGCAGCGCTCGCGGCTCAAACCCTCTCGGCGTCAGAAATCGGGAGCCCAAGCAAGGTAAGGACAGCATGTGAGAGAACAAGCTACCGCAATCAAGCGCACGACCGGATTTCTTCAAGTCTTGTGCTGCAGCGCTCCAGCTAAAGGCGCTGCTCACAATCGTACCGTACTACAAGCAAACTACGTCGTCATCAATCTCGCAGCCACCGTCAAGACCGTCAAGACGCGCAAGGTTTTGTCTGCTAAGAGCGAGGTGTCGGAGCGTCTCCTGGAGGAAGGGACGCGGCATGTCCGACTACCAGAAGTAGAAGCCCATCAACTGAGCGGGCTTGGAGGGTGTTGCGAGAATTGTAGGACACGCCAAATGGGCCGGACTGTAGCCAAGGACGACGATCGTGGCACGCTGAGCTGCAAGAGCAACCTGAAACAACTTCCAGCTGTCCACGGCGCCGATTTCCCTGGTATGAAGCGTCAACACCATGCGAGGTAGGGTAATATGATAGAGCCCAAGACGATCATGGAAGACGGAGGCGGAGGAAAAAATCACGAGATGCATGTTGAATTTCGATTGGCTTGTCTGCTTTGGGCTCAACATTCAAGAAGCGGGTTTGAGCAGCCCCAAACATCAAGCCAAAGCACGTACAACCCATGTCAACCAAGGAACCCAACCGAGGTCACAAATCCGATCCGCTACAAATCGCCACGGCGCTTTCCACTGGAAAAGAAGCCGACGATGCAGTCGAAGACAGCATGAGGAAACCTTTCACGAGTGACGACCGAGTAGGTATGATTCGGTATGATACACCGTCTAGCGAACGGCTGTCACACAAGTCACGGCGAAGCCGGGGTCACTCAACGGGCGCGCCCGAGGATTTTTAGATGGGCGGTTCACACCAGAAGCTCGCACGAGGGAATGTAGTCGAGCGTCAGCGTGGGTAGAGCACCAAGTGAGATTGAACAGGGGTGAAGCGCACACAGCTTTCCGGGAAACAAGCCCTGCGATAGCATTAGCGCTTCTGCGCAGCAAGCTGGAATAGCCCCCTTTTCCCCGCGCCATCCCATTGCCTTCCTGCGCAAAAAATGACAAGGGTCAATGTAAAACTCGGCGCGCTCGCGCGCACAAGCTGAGACCACTGTTGTGCGCGATTCGCGTCTGTGCGTTGCCGCCACTTTTCAACCAGCTGGCACGCCACGGGTCAAGTTGGGACTTGCTCTGCCGTTTGGAAACTGACCAAATCGAGCTCCTCCTTCGACAGCTTCCATTGCAATTAGAGGCAGTTTCTGAAGGAACAAACTGAGCCTGTGTTTCGCTGATGAACATGTTTGTGTGCGGAAAAGCTGACAAGACTGAACATCGCGGGAAATGGGGAATAGAATTGAGCAGAAAGTGTGGCCCTGTGTGAATTTGTCGGCGTGTGAGTAAACGGAATTGTGCCTGCTCTTTCCCAATAACGAGCGTGCCTGATCGTTTTTCAATGAGCGCCCCTCCCCATGGAGTTTCTTCAACCCAAATATTGCATCTGCGCTCACTCTCCTGTAGTGACGCAGCACGCATCAGTAAAGTGTAGCCCAACAGTGCGCCTCCCTTACACTTCTAACTTTAGCCCAGCTACGGAAACGGAAGTCTGAAGGCTGTACCGTCACTAGGTTAAAGAGCTCTGCAGAGAAGTCCAAGACGGTGTGCGGGTACTTCTCCCAACCTGCACAAGCAATAACATAAACAGCCAAGCAATAGAACCTTTGCCATCTTGGTGTTGCCTTGTGCCCTGTGCTTTCCCAACCACACTGGCTCTGCGTGCTTGCGCAACCTTCAATGTTGTTCAGAAAGAACTATGGAGCTACGCCGTTGCCAGGCAAAATAACGAGTTGGCAGCGCGATGTCTTTGCTTGATGAGGCTCACTGTTGCTTCATTCATGTGTGGCATCATGTTGTCTTCGCTCAAAAAATCACAAAACGGCTTAAATCAGACAAGAAACCTAAACCAAACCAGCTTCATCTCTCTCTATCTCTCTCCCGCTCTCTCCCTCCCTCCCTCCCTCTCTCTCTCTCTGCAAATGTGCTCTTCAAGCAATTTACAGAACAATGCAACAAAGAATCGATGCCTCAGGCGCCTGGAACGCCTGGTGTAAAGCGCAACAACTCAAGTGTCATCAGCGACAAAGGCTGCGATCAACTAAAACCCAGCTCAGCCCCAGGCATTGCTGTCGCGAGTTAAAGCAATCCTCCAGATTTGGGCCACAACCGCTCATGCGTCCATGCGCTTGCTCGGGGCTTGGCGGCTGAAGCGGCGCAAATCAGTCTGCCGCCTTCACGACGCCGCCGTTGCCAGTTGGCTGAGACTGAAAGCACATCCACCGTGCCACATCCACCGTGTAGACCCGATTTGTCAGTCTCGTCAGTGAGCAGCTCCGAATTTGCATCGCTCTGGCCGATGGAACGCTAGGTACGGTGGCGTCACACTGCCAGCTTGCGTCTTGGCGGTTCCTTCCGCGAGCTTCCGCGGCAGTTACACGTGCTTCACCGTTTGCTTCCGCATCCTTTCGCGGCGTATGTTTTCTGCGAGGTTTTTGTTGGCACAGAAAGTAATCCGCCGACCCCTTTGCAAAAGCTAAGTTAGTCTCTGCAAAGGGGCGAGGCGTGTTCTAAGTGGTGGTGGAGGGCGGGTCCCGCGGCGGATTTTTGACACGCCTAACCTCTAACTCTGACCCCTACCCCGAACCTCCCACCCTAACCTCTAACCCAAACCTCGGGAAGATGACGGAAGACTACAAGAAAATGACCCTAACACCTAACCTCTAACCCTAACCTCTAACCCTAACCTCTAACCTTAACCTTTCACCCTCACCTCTAGCCCTAACCTCTAACCCGAACCTCTAACCCCTATTGGAAGCTGACGGAAGACTACGGAAACATGCCGGAAGACTACGGGAAGATGACGGAAAACTATGGGAAGCTGACGGAAGACTACTGGAAGATGACGGAAGACTACGGGAAGATGACGGGAAGCTGACGGGAAGATCGCGGAAGACTACGGGAAGATCCGTCATCTTCCCGTCATCTTCCCGTAGTCTTCCGTCATCTTCCCGTAATCTTCCGTCATCTTCCCGTAGTCTTCTGTCATCTTCCCGTAGTCTTCCGTCAGCTTTCCGCCATCTTCCCGTAGTCTTCCGTCATCTTTCCGTAGACTTCCGTCATCTACGGGAAGATGACCCTAACACCTCCTCTCATCCTAACCTCTAACCCTAACCTCTAACCCTAACCTCTAACCTCTAACCCTAACCTCTAACCCTACCCTCTAACCAACCTCCACCTCTAACCCTAACCTCTAGCCCTAACCTCTAACCCTAACCCCTAACCCGAACCTCTAACCTCTACGGGAAGATGACGGAAGACTACGGAAAGATAACGGAAGACTACGGGAACATGACGGAAGACTACGGGAAGAATACGGAAGACTACGGGAAGATGACGGAAGACTATGGGAAGCTGACGGAAGACTTCGGGAAGATGCCGGAAGACTACGGGAAGCTGACGGGAAGACGTCGGACTGCGGGAAGATGACGGAAGACTACGGGAAGATGACGGAAGACTACACGAAGATGACGGAAAACTACGGGAAGATGATGGGAAGCGGCGCGGTAAAAACGGTAAAAACGGTCCTGTAAACTGACCCTCTAACCCTAACCTCCAACCCTGATGATGACGACGACGACAATGATGATGCTTGACGATGATGGTGATGATGACGATGCCGATAATGATGTTGATGATGATGATGACGATGGAGGAGGATGATGATGCCGATGATGGTGGATGATGATGATAATGATGATAATGTTGATGATGTTGATGGCGCCGATGGCGTTTATGATGATGCATGATGATGATGCGTGATGCGCATGATGATGATGTTGATGATGATGATGGGTGACGATGCCAATGATGATGCTGATGGAGGATGATGATGATGTTGACGCAGATGATGATGATGATGATGATAAATGATGATGATGATGGTGCTGATACTGATGATGAATGATGATGATGATGATGATGATGATCATGATGGGTGATGATGATGATGAAAATGATCATGAATGATGATGATAATGATGATGATGATGGATGATGATGATGATGATGATGATGATGCCGGTGATGATGCGGATGACGCCGCTGATGATCATGATGACGATGATGATGATGATGATGATGGTGACGATGATGATGATGATCAGGAGGTTGATGAGGATGATGATGATGAGGCTGCTGCATGATGATGAGGATGAGGGTGACGATGACGATGATGCTGGATGATGAGGATGAGGATGACGATGATAATGAGGATGAGGATGAGGATGGATGATGATGACGAGATGGTGGCTGATGACGGTGATGATGATGGTGAGGATGCTGATGATGAAGAGTGCTGATGATGATGACGCCGATGATGATGGTGATGATGATGGAGCTGATGATGATCATGATGATCATGTCGATGATGATGATGATGAGGATGATGATGCTGATGAATGATGCTCGTGATGCTGACAGTGATTGTGCTGATGCTGATGATGATCATGACGACGCCGATGATGATGATGAGGATAACGATGCTGATGAATGGTGATCATGCCACTGACAATGGTGATGAGGACAAAATTATGCAGATCATGATGATGCTGAAGATGATGGATGATGATGACGAGATGCTGGATGCCCTACTCTGACCTCTAACCCTAACCTCTATCCCTAACCTCTATCCCTAACCTTTAACCCTAACCTCTGACCCTAACCCTCACCACTAACCCTAACCAGTAACCCTAACCTCTAACCCTAGCCTCTCCTCTAACCCTGACCTCTAACCCTGACCTCTAACCCTAACCTCTAACCCATTCATCCTCAGCAGCATCATCATCATCCTGCATCATCATCATTATCATCCTCGTCATCCGGCATCCTCATCATTATCATCATCAGCACCAGCATCATCATCATCATCGTCGTCACTAGCATCATCATCCTTAGCAGCATCATCATTAGCAGCATCAGAAAAGATCAGGAAGCAGCATCCTCATCATCATGATCGTCATCATCGTAATCATCATCCGCGGCGTCGTGATCATCCTCAGCATCCATTATTATCATCCATCATCGTCATCATCCTCCATCATCATCCATCATCATCATCATCCTCATCATCATCGGCATCATCGTCATCATTATCATCAGCATCATCCTCATTCATCAGCATCAGCAGCATCATCGCCCTCATCCTCATCATCATTATCATCAGCGGCGTCATCATCATCTTCGTCATCCAGCATCATCATCATCATCATCGGCATCATCTTCCTCAGCATCATTCTTCAGTTCTGCGGGCCTGGGGCGATGCTTTGCATGCTGGGGATGCGGGGGCTGCCTTTTTGGCCTTCGATAGTTGTAGAAAAAGGCAGCTTTTGCATCCCCAGCTTCACCAGCATCATCCTGCAAGTGCCCGGGGTGATGCTCTGCATGTTGGGGATGCAGGAGCTGCCTTTTTGGTCTTCGAATGTCGGGAAAAATGCATTTTTTGCATCCCCCGCTTCATCCTGCAGGTGTCTGGGGTGATGCTTTGCATGCTGGGGATGCGGGAGCTGGTCGTGAAAAAAGGCAGCTTTCGCACCCCCAGCTTCGCCGGCGTCATGGGCTTGCTCGTCTGCTTTGCCCGCGGAGACTGGCTCATCTCAAGGTTTCTTGCTTTACGGGGGTCGGCGGCATCAGGCGTCAGCCTGCTATATCCGGCTACGCCTCCTGGGGTAGCATGTCGCCGCTAGGCAATTAGCCTGCTAGCTTTAGCTATAGGGGCTGCACCCTGGTGCCGCCGACCCTCGCCACTTGCGCGGCCTAAATCCGGCACCTCTGCATCACCAGCTCGGGCTTGCGGTTTTGCTTGATTGTGGGAAACCCTCGCGAAACATCGCGTATATGCAGGGTTTAGGCCACGTGGCTGACATCGTCAGGGTCTGGGGTTGGGCCGGGGTGATGCTTCAGCGGGGCTTGGTCTGCATCATCAAGACTTCCTTCCCAAAAGCCTCTCGACCCATGAAGCACTGTTTTTAGAAGGTGTTGGAGGGGTATAAGAGAGGCTCATTTTTGCGCATTTTGGCTGCCAAGCGCTGCCGGGCGTGCCGGCGATGCTGGGCCCTGGCCCTACAAAAAGGTGTAAAAACTGCTGCGCTGAGCGTTGGGCTGTTGTTCTGTCCGTTTTGCTTTTGCTGTGGCTGGCTCGCGTGCTGCGCGGTCCTTGCTTTTTTCCGGTTGGTTTTCGGGCCTTCTGGCGCGCGCGCGCGCGCGCGGCCCCGGCCACAAAACGCTGCTATTTACGGTGTTGTGTTGCATTTGCGCTTTTGGGCTGGCTTGCGGGCTGTTCTTTTTGGGCCTTCGGGGTTGGGGCCCGGCTGGGGCCCAGAAGGCTGGCATCCCCGTCATCATCTGGGGTTGGAACCAGCCATATCATAGCACAGGATACGTTTCTCATAAAAAAACATGACATGACATGGTATAGCTTCAAAGAGGCGTAGCCGGCTAGACCCGCAGGCCCAGAAAATTAAGAAACAAAGCGTGGGACGGTGCATACGTTCAAGAAAACTGTCCCTCTCCCCACTACTGTCCAACTGCGGGAAACCAACTTCGCTCAAACTTAAAGTGTTGCTGGAACATCCTCTGGCGCCGGCCTTAAGCCTCTCTGCAGAAGCATTTCCACCTGTCTATCCGCAATGGCTTGCAAAACGGTGTCTCCTTCTGGAAAGCAGCATGAAATCCATGTGGCTGTCCCACCAATCATAACCATAACTTCTGCAGGTGGTACACGTGCGCATGCGCGCATTATGGCTCTGCAATGTTTCCAAGGGTGGTACAAATTGTCTGCCTGTCAAGCAAGCCGACGCAGGCTCCACACTCCGGATTGAGTGGCCCACTCGTAGACGTAGATTTCAGGCGTTCTTGAACATTGGCGGAGTCTTCTGTCTAAAGCGTTTGTTTTAATCATGTCTTTCCCAAGTCTCAAAGCACGTCTGGCGTGTCTGGTCAAACATACTTCTCGCGGAGTGAAGGTCGCAATCCGATCTGCATGAGCTCCTTGCGGGCAACTCGAAATTGCCCTTGCTCAAGCCTTTGCGGGCGGCTCCGTCGCAGCTATCCGTTGAAGTGGAGGGGGTTTACCCCTGACAGCTTGAGCCAATGACAAGCTATGACACGTAATCAGCGCTGAATGCAAAAAGCGGCACTTCGCGGACCCTTTCGCAATGCTTTCGCGCTTTCACGGGCTTCGTTTTCTTTGGAAATGCTTTCGCGGCTGGCTACGCGAACACACCCTTCGGAATTCAAATGCACTTTTACAAAAAAAGCTTTTTTCATCGCCAGGGCTTCCTGCGCAATGCTCCTGGAAAGTCAAGCAAGACTTGCAGTCGGCCAAAACCACGATCCATCGGCCAAAACGACACGCAAAAGAGTGGGCGACTTGATTTGCATGAAACCCGGCCTGCCATCAGAAGGCCTTTCTGCTCCAACCAAGCCATCACGGAGTAGGAGAGCCTTGAGTAAGCGTTGGACCAGAACTGCAGCCGAAAATCAGCCTCGTGCTTGGGTCTTTATTCAAGTTCCATCTCGGTTGTACCATCTCAAAGACCCCCACTGTGGTTGCGCCTGTTGAAAGCGATTCGCTATCAAAGCTTTGCGCGCAGAGTGTCCAGACACAACATGCTGATGTTGTGATTTGCGACCGGCCAAAACAACCCTGACTCTTCAACATTCGACAACCCCAAGCACCAGAACACAACCGCTCAGATAATCCGCAATCAGCCTGCGCCCCAACATCCAAACCGCAAGGATCCCTCAACACTCTGAACAACCGAGCCAAGGTGTAAAACACCCAAGCCAGACACCAACAAAAATCAAAATCCCTGAGTGGCAACATTCTCCTTCGCCTACGCATCTGAAGCAGCGCAACTTGTGGGCAAACACTGTGCGCTGCGTGTAGCATTTCTTGCACAGGCCTGCGGATGGGCACTTCCACCTTGCCCGTGTCTTCTGGGAGCAGCGGATCATCTAACACATCGTCGTCGATGAGACCCAGTTCTTTCGCAAAAGGCAGTTCCTGGCGCGCAGCGTTGAAGGCACAAACGCTCGCGCGTCTTGAATGCGTATTGTGGGAGAGAAAGGCAAAGCAAGCAAGGCAAGTGCCAAACGAGCGGCTTGAAACATCAAGGCACAATAATAACAACAACAAAACATGTTTCAGAGTAAAAACAATCATAACAACAACAAACATTAACAACAATGAGCATAATATCACTAACAACACATAAACCACATTAATAAGACAACGCACAACTGATAACAACAAAATACTAGGAACAATTAAAGTTGCATAAGATAACAAAAAAGTAGTAAACAAGAATAGGAAGAATACTAGTAAATACACATGCGCTTTGGAAGCGCAGTCTGAAGCGGCGCATAAAGGTAAGCGTAGCAGTCACCATCTGCTGTCTGGTGATCCCGTTTCACAATGTCAAGTTCTTTCAACAAATCAAGCAGCCCCTCATTTTGTTGCAACTACTTTGCCAAGCCCTGTCACGTGAAGCTGAAGTTTTGCGCGCCAAGGCGCAATCCACTGCTTCATGGGCGCCTACGTGTTCCAATTCCAACGAAACCAACCTTGGCCATGGAGCAGAACATTCCTTCAGTGGATTTGGCCGCCGCTGTGCAGGACATTCGTTTAAGCTTCGCGCCAAACATATTGCCAAACTGTACGCCATGAGTTCTTTGGGTTGCCCCCCACTGGTTGTGAGGTTTTGTTTGGGACAGTTCGGTTCACCCTTTCCTTTCTTTTTGGACATCCGATCCGGCCTCTGCAGACGGGCAAGGGTGTCTTGAACCGGGGGCGGGAATTTGGGGACGCCGGTTCAAGTCAATGGCTTTCGTTCGGAGAAGGGCTTCGGTGTAAATTGACCTTGGGGGGAAAGCTTCCGAGCGCGGGAAACCCTTGATTATGCAGGGCTTTTTGTGCAAAACAGGCTGTTCCCAACAGGCGGCTTGGTTCAGGGCGGGCTTGGGTTTACCCTTGGGTTTTCTAAAAGTGTAGTTTTCATCACGGGGCCCTTGGTGTTTTGCAGTCAAGCGTGACATTTGCAGTTGCGTGTTTGGCTCCTTACTTACAAGTTGCCAAGTGTTTCGAGACGCAGCAGGGTTTCTGGGGGTGTTGTTGTAGCCGGGCAGGAACAGCTCTTGCAGGCATGCGGCACCGCTGGTCGAAGCCATTTTGGCGACAGCGGCTTGGGCGAGCGGGGTTTAAGCTCGTGATGGCCGCGGCTCTTGTGTCAGCTTTTTTTGAGCACGCGACCTCAGACAAGCGAAGCTGACAAACTAGACGGCAAGCGGCTAAAAGACTTTGTTTGGTCCAGCGGCGCCGCACACTGCTCATGGGCGCCCATGCCATTGCCAACTTGCATCTAGCAGAAACAATGCAAGCGTGAGCTACTGCTCTAGCTTTGTTTCCCTGGTACCCTGTTTGGGCCCCCTCAGCTCAATCAACTGGTTTTCAGTTTGGCTTTTCAGTTTGGGTGCCGCGCTTTGTTTTGCAGCTTGGGTGATTGGTCATTGGTCGATTTGCTAACTTGCTGGCGCCACTTGGTGCTTCAAAAAGTAGAGGCGCAAAGGAAGCGGCAGAAAGGTTTCTCATCATTTCTCCGCCCAAAAGTTGGGCTTCAGGCAGCAGGCGCATTGGTGCAGGATATGTCAGGTGGCAACATGGCAGACAGGGCAGTCACAAACGAACTGCCAACTTCAGTGCGGCGTGGCCGGTTGACTGGCTTGTGGCAAGCCTTCCGTCAGGCCAAACAACTTCGCCAACGCGAAGGTGGCCAACAAGGCCGGCAGTCCTTGCCAAGCAGCCCACGGGCAGCGAACCAGCTTACGCAGTCTTTGCCGTCGTCCTCATTTTCCGAAAATGGACCAATAGTTGACAGGTGTGGCTGGGAGCCTGTTGACCTGCAACCTGCTAGCAAGCCCACCCGTGACCTCCTTGATTTTGTTGATTGCGGCGGCGACCTGTTAAGAAGCCAATCGTTCAGCGCGCGACGCAGTACCACGAGGGTAGGGCCAAAGACCTCAGGCACAAGCTGTTGAAGCGCCAGTCAAAACAAAATCCTGCAACGCGGCATCTGTATCGTCTCGAAGCGCAGGCTGTTGGATGCCACACGGAGCCGCCCCACGATTGCTGGCGGCCACAAACTGGCAATGTTCGAAGAACCGGCCACGCACCAAGCGCATTTGAATTGCAACCTGGGGCCAGTTGTCACATTTGAGACACATGGCTTCAGCGGCGACGCCACCAATAAGTGTTGCGCAGTCGAGCAAAGCCCACACCAGACCGCTGTCTGCCTTAGCTGCGCCATCAAGACAAGATCCCAGCTTGAGTCTCTGTTTTCCATCACTGCTGCTACGCCGACATGCAGCTCCTGCCCGAGAATGCCACTGCAGATGTCATTCAGGCAGTATATCTGAAGCAGCTCAGGAGCTGGAGCCCCAGCTGTTTGCGGCGGAGTCCGCCGATGTTCTTCGAGTCCAGTTGCACGCTGCGTCTCATGCCCACGCAACGCGGGTAAGAACATCAATGCAAGCGACACCGTTAACGTTGACATTAGCGTTAACATGAACATGAGACAGCCAATGCCACAGCCACAGCCACAGCAACAACAACAAAAAACAAACAACAAACAACGAACAACAAACAACAAACAACAAACAACAAACAACCAACAACCTTCAACCAGCAACCAACCACCAAGCACCAAGCACCAAGCACCAAGCACCAAGCACCAAGCACCAACCACCAAGCACCAACCGCCAAGCACCAAGCAACAACCACAACAACCACAACAACCACAACAACCACAACAACCGCAACAACCACAACAACGCAACAACCACAACAACCACAACAACCAACCACCACAACAACCAACAATCACAACAACCAACCACCACAACAACCAACAACCAACAACTACCAACAACCAACAAGCCACAACAACCAACAACAACCAACAACCAACAACAAACAACCAACAAACAACAACAACAACCAACAACCGACAACCACCAACCACCAACAATCAACAACCGACAACCAACAACCAACAACAACAACCAACAACAACCAGCAACAACCAGCAAAAACCAACAACAACCAACAACAACCAACAACAACCAACACTCATGACAAAAAACGACAACGACCGACGACAACCGACAACAACCGACAAACAACAAACAAAAAACAACAACCGACAACCGACAACGGACAAACAGCAAAAAGCACAAAACCCAAACAACAAACAACCAACACAACCAACAACCAACACAACCAACAACCAACAACCAACAAACAACAAACAACCAAAACCAAACAACAACCGACAACCGACAACCGACAAACAGCAAAAAGCACACAAAAACTCAACAACAAACAACCAACACAATCAACAACCAACACAACCAACAAACAACAAGCAACAAACAACAAACAACCAAAAACAAAAAACCAACAACCAAGAACAAACAGAAAACAGCAAACAACCAACAGCAAACAACCAAACCCACCCGCCCACCCACCCACCAACCCGCCAACCCCCCAACCCACCAACCCAACCCACCAACCCGCCAACCCGCCAACCCGCCAACCCATCAACCCATCAACCCGCCAACCCACCACCCGCCAGCCCGCCAGCCCGCCAACCCGCCCCCCGCCAGCCGCCAGCCGCCACCCGCCACCCCCAACCACCAACGACCACCGACCATCAACCAACAACAACCAACAACAACCAACAGCAACCAACAACAACAACCAACAACAACCAACAACAACCAACAACAACCAACAACAACCAACAACAACCACAACAACCACAACAACAACAAACAACAACAAACAAACAAACAAGCAAACAAAAAACAAACACAACAAACAACAACAAACAACAACAAACAACTACAACTACAACAACAACAACAAACAACAACAAACAAACAAACAAACAAACAAACAAACAAGCAAACAAACAACAAACACAACAAACAACAACAAACAACTACAACTACAAAAACAACAACAACAAAAACAACAACAAACAAACAAAAAACAACAAACAAAAAACAACAAACAAACAACAACCAACAAACAACAAACAACAACCAACAACCAACAACCAACGACCAACGACCGACAACCGACAACCGACAACCGACAACCGACAAATCGACATCCGACAACCGACAACCGACAACCTACAACCGACAACCGACAACCCACAACCAACAATCAACAACCGACAACCGACAACCAACAACCACAGCAACCAACAACCACAACAACCAACAACCAAAACAACCAACAACCACAACAACCAACAACCGCAACACCCAACAACCACAACAACCAACAACCCCAACAACCAACAACCCCAACAACCAACAACCCCAACGACCAACAACCCCGACAACCAACAACCCCAACAACCAACAACCCCAACAACCAACAACCCCAACAACCAACAACCAACAACCAACAACCGACAACCAACAACCGCAACAACAACAAAAAACAAACAACAAACAGCCAACAACCACCAACAACAACAACCACAACAACCAACAACCACAACAACCAACAACCCCAACAACCAACAAACAACACCCAACAAACAACAACCAACAACGAACAACCACAACAACAACAAACAACAACAAGCAACAAACAACAAGCAACAAACAACCAACAACAAAGAACCAACAACAACGACAACCACAACAACAACCGACAACCACCAACCAACAACCACAACCACAGCAACCACCAACCACAACAACCAACAACCACAACAACCAACAACCACATCAACCAACAACCACAACAACCAACAACCACAACAACTAACAACCACAACAACCAACAAACACAACAACCAACAACCCCAACAACCAACAACCCCAACAACCAACAACCTCTTCAACCAACAACCCCAAAAACCAACAAACCCAAAAACCAACAACCAACAACCGACAACCAACAACCAACAACCAACAACCGCCAACCCC